GGTCGATAAACTTACATAGATTTGAAGCCCAGTGACATAGTCGAGACCGACAAGCCATTAAATCAAAGCTTTTTGTAGCGTTGTTCGATACTAATAGATGAATGATGCCCTAATCCCGTCAAAACTGTGCCTGAAGCTCTGATACCATGAAGAAAGGTGGAGAAAATATTTTCTCATGTTCTCAATTTTATCAAATTACAAATTTTCCCCTTATTATATGGGAAAGTTTATGTCAAACGTAATTAAGACTATTACAACTTACCAAATACAAAACAAATAATGAAGGACATACAACATAGTAAGAAAAGGAAAAGGGAGAATAAAGTTGAAATAGGAAACTCCCCAAATAGCTCCCATAGATTGAACCTGTGGAGCCCATATGGCCAGTAGTCGGGTCCACCTAATAGGGACAATTCCACACATCTCAGAATATCTCGAATTTAAAGTAATGCAATTTATTAACTTAGCTTTGAATAATGATTTTACTCGGAGTAAAAGTACGAATGTATGTGGAGGAGAAAGCGAATTTTTTATCTAGATAGGGAAAATTTTTGCTACATAACCTAGTTGAAATAATTTTTACTAATTTTAATCCTCAATTATGATGTCTTAGTACAATTTAGAAGTCGTAACTTTGGGTGAATGCCTTTTTCGTTGATGGCGAATAACTTTGGAGGCTTTGGTTTGGATGACATTGCATGTTAGTCGGGACTATCTCGCTTAAAGGAGGGATGAGATGGAACAACTAGCTGTCAATGGGTTATTTAAACAAACAATCTCTCTTGGAAGAAAGAAGAATGGGGTGACGTAGAAAGGTGGGGATTTAGAAATGACCAAGATAGTTTTGCTATGGAAGGAGTTGCCTTGATGATGATCAACTTGATGAATTCGGGAACACAGTAGACAACATATAGCCTTTTAGGTAGCGATTGGAGCTTTAGAATTATACATAATATGAGGATTTTATCGCAATTTCAAAATTTTTTTTTGGAATTGATGGATAAAAAATTTGACTGTCAAATTGATTAGAGTAACTTGAAGAACATTTACTATGGATAAAAAATTTGACTATCAAATTGGTTGGAGTAACTTGGAGTCAAATTGATTGGAGCTTTAGAATTTATTGAAATGACCAAAATGATGGGCTATTATGTTTGTATTTAAATATTAATCCGATTGAATAGTCAATTTCATAGCAACCAGCAAACATCTGTCTTTAAGAGTTGTAGAACTCAACAAAGTTTAGGATTCTATATTCAGGTGATCGTAAAATGTGGAAATCTTGGAGGATTGGCCCCCTTTCCATGGTGTGTCTAGGTCGACCATCCAAAGAGTGATTGATGCAGGGCTCTTTAGGGGGCTAAACTGGTTCAATCAAGAGGGGAGCTTGGCCGCCGACCCAAGAGGATGGGCTAGGGTTGTCGCCCAAGAAAAGGAACCTTCCCCTCCTAGTTATCTATTATATATATATTCGTTATTTTTCTTAATGTTAGTTTTGAGTCTTGAGAGTTTTGTTCAGCTTGCCGTCAGTGATTGTTTTCCCTTCTAGGGTTGTATTCGAGGATAGGAGGTGCTCCGACTGTATCCTGTTTCGAGATGGTGATTAATTCTACATAATCCTTGGTGCATCCCTCCTCCCTCGTTCTGCTCGCTGACTTCTATTCTAAGCATTCACTTCTCTCTGTTTTCCAGCCGCCCACCCACTGAATCTTCACTATTGTTGCCGCATACTCCACTCTCCGCCAACTTTCTACGGCCAACCTTAGCTACCCCGTTTGTTTTTCTGCCATTCTCCCTCCCATCTTCCTTTCGTGCTTCCAACCATCACCTCTCGCATCCAGCTGGACCGTAAACCATACCATCTGCTACAAAACAACTACAACCACATCTACTAGTACCTACGCCCACCAAACCCCACTCTATGCCCATTCAAGCAGCCACCATCTATCCCAACCCCATCTCGCCCTTGTCCGTTGTTTGTCCTACTCAATCCTAGCCGGGTGTTGTATTTTTGTGTTTTCACATCTGTTTTGAGTCCTTAATGTATCTCCATTGTTTTGGAGTAATAAAATCTGCATTCCTATCGGATTCTGGAGTTACTCCGATATCAGTGATGAATGTATTAATGGAGATAATTTTGGAAGTTTCTTGGTTAGATTTTATTCTCTTCCTATTTATACTTGTTTCAGAATTATTTTTATTTTATGTATAGGCTAGATATATTTGATAATATTGTAAATTAGGAGAGCTGGACTTCTCTATATATGTAGCCAATGAGAATTGCTTGAGTAGTCTCTCATGTTTTTTTCTTCATGGTATCAGAGAAAGGAAACAAACCCTAGATCTCTTTCAGCCTGCAATCCCTCCTTTGTTTGCTTCTATTGTTGTTGGAGTCTCTCCAACAATTGTCTAGCAGCAGGAAACCTATTTGTAGCCACCATAATTTCTCCAGCCAATAGGCTCACCTTTGCTCCTTTTCATATCTGTTGGGCTCCTATAGTTGCAGCCCTCCATTGTTACAACAAGGAACATCTTACTCTCTTACTCAGCTGTAAATGTTGATAGAGTTTATGACCAAGTACATAATGAATATGTCAAATTCTACTTTGGAGGTTAGTTTTGAATCTGACATCATAAATTTTGTTCACTAGCACCCATATTCTCTTTTCTTATCACAACTCATAAATTTGATGACCATAATTTTCTTTAATGGTCTCAATCCATATTTATTTACACTCGTGGAAAAGGAAATGAGGAATATCTCACGAGAGATGGCTTAGTTTCTGAGTTTCACTGATCATAATCATCACACATGGAAGATTCAAGATCATATGGTTATCTTGGTTAGTCAACTTAATGACCATTGAAGTATCAGAAAATTTCTTGCTCTACAAAAGAGTTGAAGAAATTTGGGAGTCTGCAAGAGAAAATGATTTTAGCCCTGAGGATACTACAGAGTTGTTTGAGATCGAAATCAAACTATATGATTTTCATTAAGTAGAGCTAAGTGTCACCCAATATTTCAATACGCTGACAAATTATTGACTGCAATTAGATATGTTTGAGATGTGTGTAAATGTTCACATGATGCCATGATGTATAGATCCATCATCGAGAAGAAAAGAACTATCAATTTCCCAGTGGAACTAGTTAAGGACATAATATTTTTGGTTTTCAATTTTTTTGTGTTTTCTATCAGAATAACCATCTACTTCCATATTTTCTCTTCTAGGGTTGTATTCGATGACCAGTGGTGCGCCGACTGTATCTCTTCTGAGGTGGTGATTATCATTGATATTTTCACTCCTCCGCAACCTTCCTTCTACCCCTGCCATTACCTTATTTGATGCAACCACCCAGAAAACAACCTTATTGTTTTTCTGCAGTCGCGTACCACAGGGCTTCCTCCCCAACTTGTTGCAATCCCTCACCGCCACCTTCGAGCACCCAACAACCCCTCTCTTGCCACCTATCCATTGTCCCAGTCTCTCGAGATCCCTTCTGCATCATAGCTTCTATTCTAGCCTTATCGAACCAGTTACCTGCCACCTAATCGTTGTCCCAGCCACAGACAAGCTCCCCGCCATAGTTCACATGCCCCATTCTTCTCTCTGCCACTGACCAACACTCTCCTTCCTCTTCCAGGTCGCACCCACTTACAACTCCCAACCCCTTTCCCTGGTCACTATTCTTGGGATACGCTTTAGTTAAAGTTTGTTTGTGTCTGTTGTTGTATTTCTCTTTTATGAGCATTTGATTATAACCCTATTTGCTTTCTCTTTTGTGCTTTGGATTGACTTTGGTATGGTCTATTGATAAGGTTAAGAGTCAACTGCCATTATTTTGTCATCTTCTTCGTGATATATGAAGTTATATAAGCAGGGTAGTGTATTGTATTTTTTTAAAATAAAATAGTTGTGGATAAAAGTGATTTTTTACTGTGTAAGAATAATTTATTATCCGCTCTCTCTCTCTCTCTCTCTCTCTCTCTCTCTCTTCCATATTATTGAAGTAGCATTTTAACTTAATTTTGTCAAAGTCGTTGCCTTGTCATTGATGGCATTACTGTACCTAAAATAAGGAAGCATTTTTGCAATGGTTTCGTGGTGATGCCCGTTATTAATTTAATTAATAGAAATGATGTAGAATACTCCGTTGATACGTGAAGTCACATAAATTGGCTAATCAATTTTCTGTTATCTTCTTCATGATATATGAAGTTATATAAGCTGGGTAGTGTATTCTATTTTTTTTAATTAAAATAGTTATGGAATAAAGTGATTTTACTGCATATGAATCATTTTTTGTTCTTCCTCTCTCTTCCGCATTATTGAAATAGCTTTTTGACAGAATTTTGTAAAAGTTGTTGCCTTGCCATTGATAGCATTACTGTACCTAGGATAAGGAAGCATTTTCTTGTAATGGTTTCATGGTGATGCCCTGTTATTATTTTACATAATAGAAATGACGTAGAATACTCCGTTGATATGTGAGATCACATATCATAAATTGTCCAGTCAATTTAATTTCTGTAAATGATAATTGATTTGACCACATCTCTTTCCACAGCAAGTATAACCACTTTTGGCTTGGTGTTGATGCTCCATAACTTCAACATTATGTAAATGCGTTTACTTGTTTGTCTAATTCTTGGTCTTTTCTAGTCCTTTTCATACACAGATAATTTGTATGCTGTGTATTTAGTAATTATATTTCAAATTTTATATTCTCTATTTTGACATATTTTTGTTATGTTAGGTCGTTTCTCATGCCATTCATGATGTTAATCTGAGTGTAAAGATTTCTTTAAAATTTAACGATGTTTACTGTGTGATCAAGAGAGTAAGGGGAATTCTATATTTAATTATATACAAGGGGTGATAGATTCCTAATATTTGCTTCACATACTATTTCATCACAAAATAACAATTTTCCTTCAGATATAGAATTATGTCCTGCCACTTTTAACAAAAGTCATACGTATTGTAATCTTACCGCAGGTTTCCAGCAAAACAAGAAAAGTGATTCTACCAAGCTTGTCATTAGCGCAGTAGCAACAGTTGGCGCTTTGTTGTTAGTGGCTCTGATGTGTTTCTGGGGATGCTACCTTTACAAGCAATTTGGCAAAGATGATGCCAGAAATCTAGGAATGGATGTCAGTGGAGGTATTAATTTTATCTTGATACAATTATTCATTTACTTCTTTTTTAAATTTTTAGCAGCCTCTTATAATTTGGACATAAAATAAACTTCTCAATTATGTAATATATTTCAGTGATTTTTTTCAGGTGCAAATGTAGTAATGTTTCATGGGGATTTACCCTACTCATCGAAGGAAATGTTGAAGAAACTTGAAATGCTTACCGATGAAAATATTATAGGTTCCGGTGGATTTGCAACTGTATACAAGCTGGCCATGGATGATGGCAATACTTTTGCGTTGAAAAGGATAATGAAGACAAATGTATCTTTAGACCGTTTATTTGATAGGGAACTTGAAATCTTGGGCAGCATCAAACATCGTTATTTAGTTAATCTACGGGGTTATTGCAATTCACCATCATCAAAGTTGTTGCTATATGATTATTTAGCTGGTGGAAGCTTAGATGAAGCACTACATGGTGTGAGCTGTTATCCTGATTTAATTTCATTTATCCATCACATTACTTATTAGTTTTTTGCTTTCTTGTCTGTTATTAAACATTTAGAAACTTCTATTTTGGAATATATCTCTTTACGTCATGCTAGCTACTTCAATTCAATGTTTAGTCCCAGTTAAATGATGGAACAAATCCTTTGCCTTAGATTTTCAAGGATTTATTTTTTGAGTAGTTGGCATATTCGGAAGACTGAACGTTGATTGTTAACCATATTTTGGTTTATAAAGTAAACATTGAGCTTTCTTATTTGCTTAGATTGATTAGCCAGATTTATCAACCATCCAACTACTTTTCATTTGTTTATTTGTTTTTTCTAATAATTTTTCTTAGATTTTCAAGGATTTATTTTTTGAGTAGTTGGCATATTCGGAAGACTGAACGTTGATTGTCAACCATATTTTGGTTTATAAAGTAAACATTGAGTTTTCTTATTTGCTTAGATTGATTAGCCAGATTTATCAACCATCCAACTACTTTTCATTTGTTTATTTTTTTTTTCTAATAATTTTTCTATAATGTTTTGTGCAAAACATAAAGAATAAAAATAGATTTATCTGGTTGGATCCTAATGAAACATATCTAGCCTTTCCACTTTATAGGCTATAATTCTTCCTTGCTTCTTTTGTCTTGCCTTTTGATGATGACAATACTGTGTTATGTCAGCTCCAGTTGCTTTCTCTGGTTCCCCTCATGAAAAAGTAGCATTTTGCGATCCTTAAAAACTTTTGTTCGCCATCATTGCTGTAGTTATATTCCATTTGAGAAGATAGATATTCTTTTTTAGATTGTTGCTGCCCCAGTTTATGAGTTTCCTTTTATATATGTTATAAGTACCCCTATAAGCCATCATTATTAAGTGGGATAGTGGTATAGTCCATGTAACCCTACATTAGTATAAGTAAAAGAAGGAACCTTTTAGACTCAGCACCATATGTAGAGATCCAACCACATTATTAAGTTCTGTTTAAGCGTTATCATGGAGTACTATCATTAGACCTATTGTTAGCAGAGGATATTATTATGTCTGCTTCCTCCTGGAAAAGATGTATTTGGAGAAGCCCTTAGCTGAATTTAACATTGGTTGAGTGAGCTTTGATAGCTAGTCAATGTGCTATTAACGCTCGTTGTGACTTTTGTGTCACTATTGTTATTGTATGTGATCCTAACATCTGCCACAATCTGAACTCTCATCTATTAAGATATTGTTTGCTTTGATTTGATATATTTTATAATTTGGAACCTTTCAGTGTAACTTCTTTGGAGGTTACCCATCCATATAATTTTCAAACATGAGCATGCTTAACTATCGGGTCTCTTAACGAAACTTTAATTGCTGAAGCTACATCTCGGTTCGTTGCTGCTTCATTAGTATTATTTGAAATTGCACCTCTATTTATTTATCACAACATTGCAGAGCCTTCTCTCAGATTCCTTTTCACAAGTCTATTCTTCTTTTATTTTACTGCTTCTCATACGTGAACTCACTTGTGACAAGAAAGCTAGTCAATTGGGATAGTAGTTGTGCATTTGAGACATGACTTCCTATTTTTTATAAGAGGTGCAATCACTACTATTTTCATTCCTCTGAGACATGCCTTAGAAATCAGTGTATTGGTAGCTGAAGCTATCTTTCCTGAGGAGGATTTATTGATGATTGTGCAGGAGGAAAGACTGCTGTCAGCTTTCTGTTGTCTGGCAGTATGTTAAAAAATGGCTACTCAATAAACGAAAGTGTCCTCAAATTCTTATTGAAGAACCAGTTATTATGTAATGCATGATTCACGATGAGGTTTTATTTAATTTTCAGTTAATTAAAATGAACTTCTCTTAATTATTGTTGCCCATGTTTTTCTAGCTACACTTTATGCCATGGAGGAATTGTTTGTCATAAAATTAGAAACATGTATGCTCTATATGCCTTAACAACTTTGGAAGCTACTATGGATTTGTTATGGATCATCTTTTAGTCTTTCACCAAGTTTTTAAGTTTTTCACCAAGTTTTTAAAATTTAGCTTAGTTAAACTTTACCATCTCTTGGGAATTTTGCTTCTTAGGGTAATATATTGATTTGCTGCAAATTCTCTATTGAATATTAATAAGATTCTGAAATAATAAATTTTCTATTGTTTGACATTTTGTCATCTATGCATTTAACAGAAAGAACGGAGCAATTGGACTGGGATGTTCGCCTTAATATTATATTAGGGGCTGCAAAAGGTCTTGCATACCTGCATCATGATTGTTCACCACGAATCATACATCGTGACATCAAGTCAAGCAACATATTACTTGATGGCAATCTGGAGGCTCGTGTATCAGATTTTGGCCTTGCAAAACTCTTGGAGGATGAAGAGTCTCATATCACTACAATAGTTGCTGGAACTTTTGGTTATCTAGCTCCAGGTGACTTGCAAACTAGATAGTGCCCATTTTTGTAATTTTTTGTTATTTTTTTTAATCCAACAAATCTGTCTTTTCTTTTTTAATTAAAATCATTTTTTTAATGTCCTTATTTGCATAGTGCCTTTATCTGAGTTTTTTTTTTTGGTCTGCAAAACCATATTACATTTTTTTCCTTTAGGACTGTAATTGGTTTTCTTTTGCTACTCAGGCATTCTTGCACTTTTTATTTTATTATTTTTTCTTTATTTTTGATACCTCTGATTTTAATTTTATAATGGTGAGGACTTTTTCTTGTGGTGTATTTTGTATCTTGTTTTTTCTATTATAGTTTTCCTGTTAAAAAGAAACTAGTGGTAAACTATTAGCAATTGAAGTGCTAGTTGCTGCATGATAGTTTTCTATAAATAGTCATGCAAATGAACAGTATCAGGATATTCTTTCAGATGATAACGACAATAGAATAGTCTCACATAAAGATTGTCCGCATTTATTGCTCTATGCAAAGGTTTAATTAGTTCTCTTTGTATGATATTTCAAGTTGCAGGCTTAAGCTCACGTGCTATATATTGGCCTCGTTTTCCTGAGATATCCATATTATCATTTGACGCATTCCATCCTCAACTCGATCTTTAAAAGTATTTTATCTATTTGGGCTGCATTAAATATTTTTGTTGGTGATTAGTTAATAGGATTGACATATTTTCTATGAGATATTTATAACTAGTGAAATAAGCAGCTAGATAAATAATCCAAACTATACTCAAGTTTTGATTTTCTGTTTTTCTTGGAATAATGTTATCTGCAGAATATATGCAGAGTGGTCGGGCCACTGAAAAGACGGATGTGTACAGTTTTGGAGTTTTGGTTCTTGAAATAATAAGTGGCAAACGGCCAACTGATTCATCGTTCATTGAAAAGGGCTTGAACATTGTAGGATGGGTATGCTTTAACTACCATCTTAAATAATCTTACTAAATTTGCCTGGCATTTTTTAATTTATTTTATAGTCATGTTTATATATACGCATTATTTCAAACGTCTCCTTATGGCTTTCTTTCAACCAGAAGCTCCCATAGTTTAGTCAATTTTTCCTGTAACTTTGTACCATGCAATAAATTAATCTACTGAATAGTGAAGGATTTTTTGATGCATGATTAATATTAAGAACTCTATTTTTATGTGCTACACATTAAAGAAGATGAATTAGAGGTTCAGACACAGCAGGCTTGGCTGCCCGCATCCTTCAACTCTTTCAAATCTCTCCAGAACAAACAAGCACCTCAACACACCGAAACATACTTTCTTTTGTAGTTCTTACAAGCAAAGCATACTTTCTTTTGTAGTTCTTATAAGGTGGCTAAAGCCCACCGCATGCCCTTTTCTCTTTCTAAGAATCATCATTACTAACCATTAGAACTTCTTCACTCAAATGTTTAGGACCGTTTCCTTTTTATCTCCTTAAGACTATAAATACTATGCCAACTTTATTGACAGCTTCTCAGATTATATATGGATTTTTCCTATGATTACTAAATCTGAAGTTCTTCATAATTTAACAAAACTATAAAATTTACTTGAAATTCAATTCCAAACAAATAACATAATCCTTTGCATCAACAGAGAATAATATACCAATCTTTATTTCCAAATATTTCTCCAATCTAACGGTATGAAATCCACCAAATCAATTGCCTACTCACACATAAACAAAATGGCATTGCTGAGTAGAAAATTGCCAGATCATCGAAATAATTTGAACCCTCCTACATGAAACAAGCTTGCCACTCAACTTATGGCCAAACATCTAACCACTGCTTACCTTATTAATCGACTACCCTGTAAACCCCGTACCTTAAACTATTCCATAAATTCCCCACATAAACCCCTTTTCAAAATCATTGGTTACACCTGCTCCGACCTCTCCACCAATACAAACTTGCTCCTTGCTCCTTGTTCCACTCATTGCATTATGCTAGGCTATTATGATACTTATATAGGGTAACAATGGCTAGACGCTCTCACCAATAACATTATCATCTCCCGCGATGTCACCTTTAACGAATTACACTTCCCTTTCTCCTCCATATCCAATCAATCATCTGCTACCACCACAACATCCACCTACACTTCTCTTCTCCTTCCCCCAACCACTCATCTAACTTAACTTTTTCCACAAACAACACAAGACTCTTCCACTTTCACATGCTCTCCTTTCTGATTCCCTCAAAACCAAAAGCTTACTCACCAATCAAAATTTTTTTTACCCAATATAACTGAACCAACCCAGCCACCGAAACACCATATGGTCACTCACTCTCAAATCGGCTCTCTCAAACCAAAACACTTCTTCTCCATGCCAGCTTCCACCTCCATCTACCAATCCCACCAATCCCATTTCCTTCTCCCAATTTCAAAAATTTCTCAACGGGAGCCATGTCTTTTGAATTCAAGGCCTTGTAGACAACGTTTTGGGTTGTTTTTGGACTTATAATACAAAGCGACATGTTGACAGTTCCATAGCCAAATACAAAGCTCAACTCGTTGCACAAGGCTATAAACAAGAACCTGACATGCAATACAAAGAAACCTTCAGCTCAGTTGTCAAACTGCCAACTAACATGATTCTTCTCACTATTGCTCTTCACAACAATTTGGACATCGTTTAACTTGACGTTTTAAATTCTTTCTTATATGACCAACTTCAAGATGCTATTTGAGGAAACCTTTAGGTTTTGTGGAAAACTTCCCAATCTTGTTTGCCTCCTCAAAAAGGCTCTTTTTAGCCTCAAACTATCCTCGTGATTATGATTCAACTACTTCGATCATCTCCGTCAATGCGGCTTTCAGTTCAGCAAATTGATCTACAAAAAAATGGTATAACTCTCTACATCCTAATATATGTTTATATTCTTCTAACTTGGAACAACAATACCAAAACACAACACCTTCTTTTCAACCTAGCACAACATTTCAACATGAAGGCTCTCGACAACATATCATAATTCTTGTGGATTCACGTTACTAAATGCCCTCAAAGTGATCTCCTCACACATGCCAAATATGTTGAAACTATCCTATCCAAAGCAAATATGCAATTTTGTAAGTCCACATCCACACCCTTACCACGTCCTGCACCTGACCCCCATACTCTTTTCTCCAACCTCCTACTATCTTGTGAACTAATAGGCTTCCTACAACCCGGAAGCTTGGCATTATTAAGGCGGGAACTGCTGGTCGGACGGAGGAAACATATCTGATAGTTTCATTTCATAATTAAAATGATAACCAAACCACAAAAGAACCATTCTAATTTATAAATTTAAAGTTACAACCAATTCGTACATACTTTTAAATATTTACGACTGACAGAAAATAAAAGCAAATTCACTATACCTATCAGTTTGAGATCCATTATGCCTGTACTCGTACACCTCGGGGTACATCTACTCTACAGCTGATTTTTTGTAGAATGTTAGCAACTATAGATTTGAGTTAAAACTGTATGGTAAGTAAATAATTCTAAATTACAATAATTCTCATTTTGAAATATTTTTTAAAAGTAAAGTAAAAATAAAAGACTGTAAAGTAAAAAAAAAGTAAAAAAGTTAATTTTATTTACTTTCATTTATTTTTGTTATACTTTTTATTATTGGGAGTCACTGTCTAAACGTATACTCTATAGAAATATACGTTTCACATTTTCCAACCCACAATATAGATAGACACCTTTTCCATTTCCATTTCTATTTCCAGTTCCAATTGCATTTTCATTTTCGTGCATGAGTATATTATATTCATTTGTCATTACCAACATTTAAAAAAAATATAGTTTTGAATTTAAATAAAAGCTAAGAAACAATAAATAGACATAATTATTATAAAATAAAATACAATTACTCACATCAGTTGTCGTTTGCTATCATTTTTCTTAGATCAATGTAGTCCTTAGATGAACTTATAATAATAATTTAAATTTAATTAGCTTTTTGTTCAGGCAATATAAACATTTTGAAATTAATTTTAATCAATTAAAATTAATACTTTAAATTAAATTGACATTTGCTTTGTTAATTCTGTGCCTAACTTAATATATTACCTCTGCACTCCACACAAAGAGCTGCATGTGGAGTCCAATGAAAAGCCAACGGAGTAGCTGGGTCACACTGCCAAAAAAATTAAAAAATACTTATTTAGTGTGACCTAACCCGAATCAATGGCCCTAATGTGGACAAAATTTAAAAGATGCATTTTGTCGCACAAACCCAACCGAATATAGCCCACCGAAATGCTGATCCAGACAAAAAGCACATTTATGACATATTTTAGCATTATGTTCTTCGGTTTCCAGTTTTTGGTGGTTTCGAGCGTTCTTTGTCGTTTCGTCTTCAGCGGTTTTCCTTTCTCTTCAACGGAAATAGCTAGGGTTTCCTGGATGGTTTCGTTTCCTCTTCGGCACAATACCTAGTTGTTATAAGTTAGAGCATTGCGTCGTTCAACAGTCCCACAATTCAAAACTTCGGTTTTCCTTTCCTCTTCCTAGCACATAACAATGGAAGATCGCAAGGGAACTGAAGAAACTAACGGTCTGCCAAAGTTTTTGAGGTATTATGATACATTGTTTATTATAAATAAAATGATGATTTATTTCATTGTGTTATGGCTGTGTTATTGTTGTGTTATAATTGTGTCATGGTTATTTGTTGTGGTATAATTGTGTTATAGGTTTGTTATAGATGTATTATGGTTGTGTTATTATTGTGTTATGATTGCGTTATTGTTTTTTATGTTGTTATAATTGTGTTATAAAAGTGTTATTGTGTTATATTTGTTGTGTTATTGTTGTGTTATAGCGTGTTATGTTATGTTATAGTTGTGTTACCAAAGTTGTAAGTATATCCAACACATTTTTTATTATCTTTGCACTGTTGGAGTGAATACCATCAGTAACACGCTATTACCACACCATTACAACACTAACAACATAACAATAACATATCAGTAACTCAAATAACACAGAAATAATACACCAATTCCACAACACCAACAACTCACTAATAATGCACCAATAACACAAATCACGCGCCAAAAATACACAAATAAGACTACACATTGAGTTTAAAAATAACTCGGTTTAAACCGCTGAATAACACGTTGATTTTTAAAATAATGCGGTTTATATCGTGCTATAACACGTCGCAATTTAAAATAACTCATTTTAAATCGCGACATAACAAAGGGGGAATGTTCCTCTAAACTGCGATATAACATGGAGGGAATATTCTTCTAACAGCGCGTTATAACACATGGGAAGATTCCCATAACGCAGTGATATAATACATGGCGAATATTCCCCTAAGAGCGCAATATAATACGGGGAAGATTCCCATAATGCAGCGATATAATGTGTGGGGAATATTCCCCTAAAAGCGCGTTATAACACAAAGAAGAATATCATAACGCAGAGATATAACGCATGGGGAATATTTTCTATTTTCGTGGTATAGCTACGAAAATATTCTCATGTGTTATTCAAGTGTTATTGTTGTGTTATTATAGTATATTAATGTAGTATTGAGGTGAATTAAAGTGTTATGGAGGTTTTATTATCGTCTTATTCATGTGTTACTCAAATAGATGTGATATTGAGTTAGTGAGGTGTTATTGTTATGTTATTGTGGTGATATTGATGTAAATAGAGGTTTTATCATTGTATTATTCATGTGTTACACAAATATATGTGGTATTGAGTTAATGAGGTGTTATTGTGTTGGTATTGAGGTGAATTGAGATGTTATAGAGGTTTTATTAGTCTTATTTATGTGTTACTCAAATATATGTGGTGTTGAGTTAGTGATGTGTTTTTATTGTGTTATTGTTGTGTTATTGTTGTGTTATTGTGGTGTATTGAGATGTTATAGAGATTTTATTATTGTCTTATT